GTTGGCTACTTAATTATTTAGTCTTTTTACTTTTTTCATTGATCTTTCAATTTGGTGTAGGACACCACTTAACTATTTAATTTGTTCAATCAGCCCACTTTTCGTTAATATTTGATGGCAGTGCTAACGTGGTAGTTAAAAGAATTTGTATGTTTATTCATTTAGTTCTTAATATTTATACATTTAGTCCTTAATTTAAATTAGGACCAAATTGAGATAATGTGTAAATATTAAGGACTAAATGTATAAATATAATAATTCTTTTAACTGTCACATCATTATTGTCATCAAATATTAACGACAAATAATCTTATTGAACAAATTAAATAATTAAGTGATGTCCTACACCAAATTAAAAGATCGGTGGCAAAAATAAAATGACTAAATAGTTAAGTAATCAACTGTATAGTTTACCCTAAAATTTATATTAGTAACATGTTTAATCTTTGGATAAAGTATATAAATAATTCTCAAACTTTTAGTGTGCTTTCGTTATGGTCACCCAACTTTTGAAACTTATAATATAATCATCAAACTTATAGTTCGTTTCCATTTTGGTTATGTCGTTACCTCTCGTTAGTTTTTACTGACGGGGCACTTAACGTCGTTAACTTTCTGATGTGGCAGCTTCTTTCTTCTTCTTCTTTTCTTCTTCTTCTTCTTCTTCTTCTTCTTCTTCTTCTTCTTCTTCTTCTCTTTCTTCTTCTCTCACACTATCTCAATGAAATCTTAGATCCAAAACCTTGTCATTTCATGAGTTCTTTTTCTCTGTCCATTGATTTTAGTTACCTTAATGTGTGGATTTAGATGTGAAATCTAAATTGTAGTGGTTACGGGGAGGAGATTAGCCAAGTTTTGGAGCTTTTATTCTTAAATCTGCATGAAATTTAAGGTAACTGGTGCCTAGAAAATGCCAGACCTAGATTTATAGAGATTCATGTAGTTGGACTTGTTTTATACCTTTTACGTTGATTAAAGATCTTTTGAAAGAAAGTAGATTCCATAAAGTAATTTGGGTGACTGTATCAAAGGAATTCAATGTTACAAAGTTACAAGATGCTATTGCGAGTGCATTGAATTCAAAGAACGATTTGGTCGGAGAAGAAAACAAAGTCAGGCGAGCAGCAATGATTTGGTCGGAAGTATGTTGTAATCCTACATGATGTGTGGGACAGATTTTCTTTAGAGGAAGTTAGAATCCCTGAGCCGAGTAACAACAGTGGATGCAAGATGGTATGACAACTCGTTGTCTAACCGTATGGGCTGTAGGGATACCAGTGGCACCCCTTTCAGAAGAAGAGGCATTGATACTATTCTTGAATAAAGTTGGGCCTAACATAGCACAAAGTACAACTGTAATGCCAACTTTGAGGCTTGTTGTCAATGAATGTGATGGTTTAAGCAAATGAATGTCAACTGAAGCATTGATAGAATTATGTAGGATACATCTGTGTTTGGGTGAATTTAGGGTAAAAATTTTTTCCCGAGAAAGTAGAGAGAGAATCTGAATTTTCTTGTAAAAATGAGAGAAAAAAAGAATTCAAGACATAACAAGGTTTTAGATCTGAGATTTCATTGAAAGAGTGTGTGAGAAGAAGAAGAAGAGGAAGGAAGGAAGAAGGAAGGAAGAAGAAAGAAAGAAAGAAGAAGAAAGGAAGAAAGAAAGAAGAGGAGGAGGAAGAAGAAGCTGTCACGTCATAAAGTTAATAAGTGTCATACGTCATCAAAAACTAACAGAATTAATGGTATAGATCAAAATGAAAACGAACTAAAAGTTTGATAGTTGTATTGTAAGTTTCAAAAGTTAGGGACCATAATATAAGCGGCTTAAAAGTTTGAAGACTATTTATATATTTTATCCTTAATCTTTCACACATTCAATCAATTTAATTTTCTTTTTACAAAATTATTAATTTATTCTAACATTCTACATAATACATATTCTTTTTCTCGATTGTTCTTCAAATCCATATCCCATTTTTTTACCTCCTCTCCAAATTTTTTATTTTATTTTAATGATCAAAGAGAAAGAATCCTAAAATTAGGTGATCGTTAGTGTAATTTAATTTTTTATAATTGAATTTTATTTCAATAAAAATATCTTAATTTAGTGACGTTATTGAAATTTGAAAACTTAGAATTATGGTTTATAGGTCTGGGCTGTCAACTTTATTGGAACAAACCTCAGCCCTAATCATGGTCATTAATCTCGGCAAAATTGGTCTGATATCGTAGCCGGACTAATTATTTAGCTTAATATAGCACAAAATAAATTATTTAGAGATCTACGGTATTTATTACAATGATTTGAAACTCATCACGTTGAAATAATATATTTATTTAAATAATATTTTTTTTATTCAAATTTATCACGTCAAAATGATAAATTTTAATAAAATATACTTTTTTATTATATTTTATTGTGTCGGGGTGAAAAATTTTAATAAAAAAATATATTTTCTTAGAACTCATCACTTCAACGTGATGAATTTCAAGTTCTTTAGCAAATATCGTAGTTCCTAAAATAACAAATCTGATATCGTCTTAGAATAAATAATTAACACGCATATCGTATAGGGCCAAAATTGCCTTAATCTCATCAACGATGATTCCCAATCGAGCCTGATCTTTCAAATTATGAATTAGTGTTGTATCCTACACTCAAAGTACACAACATAGGATTACCACGTCAATCTAATAAATTGTAGTTTAAAGTACATGAATATATATTAATTATAAGATGTTGTTTTGTTGAGTCTTATAATTATTAAAAGTTATAAAATGATTATCTAATTATACTATGTTTGAATCATTCGATTATTAAAAGTTACAAAATGGTCACCGACTATTCATATGTTTCAAACTTGTCCTTTTTTGTTAAAAAATTAACAATAGTCTGAGTTGGACGTTAAACTACTGACTGAGATATGATAAAATATGATCCTAGAATCTCAAACGACTATCATATCTCAGTCAGTGAGTAAACGTTCAGCTTATACAATCAACTTTTTAATGGAAAAAGGTAAATTTGAAACATATGAATAGTCGAGTGATCGTTTTGTAATTTTTAATGGTTGAAAAATTCAATAAAGCAACATCTTATAGTCAGATGATAATTTTGTAACTTTTAATAGTAATGTCCTATAATTGAGGGACCATTTGTGTATTTTATCCTAAATTATAATGTCATCAACTTTCGATATTTAAGTTCAAATCAAGTTAAAGTTATTAAATGGTCTTAATGATTAAATAAAATATTATTCTCATTAATATTCCTGGGTTTAAAAAAAATATTTATGAATGTACGTATGTTGTTAATGACTAAAAAGATTTTAAACATATACTATTTTATAATCACCTTACGCTATCTTAAAAAAAAACTTCAAACCAATTTATAAGTCAACTCTTTAAGCGTCTCGTGTCTCTTAAGTGTCTTTAATTGGATGCACGTATTTTTTAATATTCGAAGATACAAATATTTGTATTTTAATATATTCGAAGATAGGATATTTGTAAAATAAATACTTTTTTGACAAATTTTAAATCTAATTTTAATTATATCCAAAGGGAGTGAGAAGAAAAGACTATAGGAGATGAAAAAGGAATGCTCCCACATATATACAACCCGTGAAATAAGAAAATATGAGAAAATAAAGATGAACAACTTAGATATAGGGGTGTAAATGAACATAGGGTTCGGTGAATTTTTTGTGAATCGTTCGTATAACATTAGTTTATATTCGTTTGTTAAGCTAAATAAACGAGTATGAACAAAAAAAATTATGTTTATTTAATAAACGAACGAACACGAACAAATGTGTGTTTCGTTCGTTTATGTTCATTAACAAGCTCGTTTATGAGCTCGTTTTTCGACTAGTTTACTTATGTTCATGAACAAATTCGTTTACATAAATTTTCTTGTCTTTTTTTTTACATTTTAAATATTGGTGATGGTAGTGACTAGAATGAACACATGATAAAAATTGAAAATTAAATTGTTAATTTCAAAGAGTTTAACTACTAATGGCATAATTTTACCACTAATTGAACATATAACGATCACTAAACGAACATTTTCATAAATGTTAAATGAACACATTTCTAAACATATAAACAAGCACGTTCACAAACATTAAATGAACATGCTCGTGAACAATAAATAAACGAACACAAACATAATACAAAAAATTTAAACGAACACAAACCGTACATAAACACCTTCAAAAATTGGTTGAGCAAGCACATTTGATTGACTTACCTAACTACTCATCTTTGTTCTCTCGTATTTTCTTATTTCATAAATCCTATAGCCATTATGATTAGGGATGGGCATGAGACCCGAACCCGACGGATTCCGACCCAACTCGACACGATTGGGTCAAGTTTTTTTTAAAAAATTTTGAGTTCGGGTCAGGTTTGGGTTTAGAGTGAAAAATATCCGACCCGACCCGAAAAAAATATAATTATACCTTATATATTTAGAAATAATTATAATAATACCCCTCTCTATATATATTTTTCAATTAAATCACTTTTTTTATTGAATAAAAATAATATTTTTTATTATTTCGAGTCAAGTCGGGTTTCTAATTTATATGTCGGGTCGGATTCGGATTAGGCGAAACTTTATTTTGATCAAGTCGGATCAGATCTCGGGTGAAGGATCTCTTGTTCTCGAGTCGAGTAGATTAAAAACCCCAACCCAACCCGACTCAGATTCATCCCTAATTATGATATCAATAATAAAAGACGGAATTCAAACAACACATATTTGGAATAAATATAAAAATAACCAATACTATTATATTAAAACTTTTAAAATTCAAATTCTCCACTTCAGCGTATATTTGGAAATGGATTTGAATCCCCACCAAAAAAGTAATTTCCACTTTATGCTGTTTGGCGCCTCAGAAAATTTCATTTTCCCTTTTACCATACATTCATAACACAAATATCAAATTACTAATACATTTTGATTAACAAAATCAGAGTAAAAACTTCCACAGATTACCAATACAGAGTTAGTCAACACTAAAAAGAACTACAAATTAACCAAAGATTACACTTGAAAATTGTTAGATACCCATCACAGAAACTATTATTTTTGTTCTAAAATATAATAATATTCCACAAATTAAGCATAAACAGAGCCGTACGATAGCGCCATTAAAAGGACTGCAGCTTGTTCTTCCTCTCCCAGCTTGCTTATTTGCTTCTCATCCTTTGATCTTCGTATCAGAACTTCTCTCCCTAAATAAAGCAATCTTTGCTTCAAATTATCGCCGAAATTTTTGTTGTTTCCTTTCTTTGATCTCTTGTCTTCTCCTTTGTTTAATCCCGGAATTGCTCTCCTCTTTTTCCTGCTTCTGATCCCACACGCATTGCATAGTGACTGTAAAAACAAACAGAAAAAAGAAGAAGATTAAACGCCAAATCAGATCAAATCAAAGAGAAAATAAACGTTAAAATGGATTTGAAAAACATACTTTGGGACCAGCTGGGCCTCCTCTCCAAAGAGGAGTCTTGGAAGTACCACAATCGGCACAATTCTTCTTTGTTTCAATGCCAATGGCTTGATCCGGTGATTCTTCTGGTGAAATACAATCTGGGTAATTCTTGTTTTGATCCTCAGAACTCTGTTCCTGCAAAACAAAACAAGGGGAAAAAATGAGAATCAGCTAAGAGAAATGTGAAGACAAAGCTCAAGAACGAACCGGATAAACTCACCTTTTCACTCTGATCCAACATGTTTACTGCATATTCCGAAGATCTGAAACCAACCCAAGTTTTGGAAGACGAAGAATAGAAATGGGTAGTGAGAATAAAAGGTGATTGGATGAGAAAATAAGGTTAAATAGATCAAATAAAATGGAGGTTTTGGGAGGAAAAATGAAGGAAAATAAAGCAGAGGGGAATAAAGTAAACAGACACGAAACGCCACACGCAGGGCGGATCTAGATACCGCTTTATAAAACGGGATGCAAAACCCTAACTCCGGGCTTGTGAAATGACGAAAATACCACTGGTAGATTTAGTTTTTATCGTTTGTTGCCACCCTCCAAATCCCCTCATAATTGTCCGTGAAATGAACAAAAAGGGCGCCATTGTTCTTTTTGCCTTCATTGGTTTCTGTTTGGGCTCCAAATTTTTAGTAATTCCGTTGACTGTTTGTTTTCCCGGAAAATTTTTTGGATTTGAAAGAGTTTATTTTTACGAGATGTACGAGGTACGTCGGCTTTAATATATAGTTAAAGAAATATGTTACTAGAAATATTATCATTCTTTTAATATTTTCGATAAAATCTTACTTAAAATATTATTTTTTTTTATTGAAAATGTTAATATTGGGTGTTACTTAAAATATTTAATATTTTCGGTAAAGCGCTACCTAAAACATTATTTTTTCTACCGAAAATGTTAATATTGAGTTCTACCGGAAATTAGTTATCAAAAATAATATTTTCAATAAAAAATGTTTTAGGTAATCTTTAACCGAAAATATTAAAAAATAATTATATTTTCGATAAGACCTTTACTTAGTTGTATATTAAGACTGCCGTACAACATAACTATTCCATTTTTATTCGGTTAATTTAAGTGAAGAATATATTTTTCTAGTATTCAGGTAAAGGATATTTTTAAATTTTAGTTTAAAATAGCATTTTTAATATAATTATAAAATAAAACACCACAACATCAATTGTAAAGAGTAATTTTTAATATTATCTTAAAATAAAACACATTTATTATTGTTCTCATTTGAAACAGTATTGACCTTTTCAAGGTTGAGATTGTACTTTGGATAATTAAACTCAAAATTGTTACTGTTGGGCATATGAAAGTCAAAAGAAATAGAATGAGATAGCGATGTCATTGATTCACCTAATCATATAGCAGAAATAACATCTCTCATGTCTGATATAAAATCATTTATATTTATTGTTTTCAATCTTTTTATTCTTTTTAAGGATTAAGTATAAAATAAGTGTTCAATCTATAACGATTTTTTCGAATAGATGTCAAAAGTATTTTATTATGGTATATGAGTATGTGTTTAAATTTAGTAAAAAAATGAATTTAAAATAAATGACAAATTGAAAGAATATGGAGGTTATGAAAAATTGAAGGATTAAATTTAAAAATAAAAAATTGTTATCAAAAAGAAGAATTGAAAGTACACATGTATTTTATTATGGTTTAAGAATATGTGGCTTAAATTTGGTAAAAATGACTTAAAATAAACGACTAATTGAATAAATAAGGAGATTATGAAAAATTGAAGGACTAAATTGAAAAATAAAAAATTTGTTATTAAAAAGAAGGATTGAAAATATACATGAATTATACTATGGTTTAGGATATGCCTGTAAACGAACCGAACGAACATGAACGAGGTATGTTCATGTTCGTTCGTTTAACTTTAACTGAACAAATGAACGAACATGAACATAAGCGAACAAAAAAAATCTTGTTCGTGTTCATTCATTAAGGAATGTAGCTTGTTCGTGTTCATTCATGTTCGTTCATTTAAATGATAAATAAGCACAAATGAACGAACATAAACGGACGGATGTAAACGACCATAAATGAACACAAACAAATAAATGTAAACGAACATAAACAAACACAATAAATGATCGTAAACGAACGAAAACGAACATAAATGAACATAAACCACAACAACAATAATTACATAAAATTCATTAGTATAAGTTGCAACTTCATAGTTAATTTGTATTTAATTTTTTGGGTTCTTTTGTATTTAAAATTAATTGAATTTTAAAATATTAATGGGTATCATATTAAAATGTATAGGACCTTAATATTTTAAATGGTTCTAGAGAGATTGAGTTAAACATAAATGAACGAACATAAACGAATGAAAGTAACGAACAAATGATCAAACATAAACGAACATATTATCGAACGTTCACAAACGTAAATGAATGAATGAGCCCTATGTTCGTGTTCGTTCAATATTTAATTAACCGAACACAAAATCTTGTTCATGTTCATTCGTTTAATAAATAAACGAACTTCCCGTCAAACGGTTAACGAATGGTTCGTTGAATGTTCGATTCGTTTATAGGCCTAGTTTAGGAGGATGTGGTTCAAATTTGGTAAAAAATAGACTTAAAATGAAGGAGGAATTGAAGAAATAATGAAATCATGGACTAAATTGTAAATCTTTCAAAATACTTTGTCATATTTTTGGTTTTTCGAGAAACTCAAAAATTCAAAATTTCTACTTGACTTTAACTCGAAAAACAAATTTATAATTCGAGTTGACTCGAATAAATCAAATAACTCGACTCAAATAACTTGAAATTGAAAAAACATCAATTTTTTGAGTTGAGACGAGTTTTGTTCACCCCTAGCCGGAGATGACCCGCAATTGGAGTAAATTGGACTAAAATAAGATATTTTAAGAGTTTTTTTTGTATGTTAGAAAAAATGGGGTTTTTTTTGCAAATAAAATATTTTTTAATTTTTTAAATAAAATTTAAAATTATCATATTGTGACACGTGTCACTTAACGAGAGTTTTTAATGGTATTTTACACCGATGCACCTAGAGTGGTAACGTTTGTAATGTCAGATACCTAAAGTGGTAACGTTTGTAACGTCAGGCGCCTAAAGTGGTAACATTTATAATTTTGGGAAGTTGGATGGGCCGAAAAAAATATTTTAGGCACATATTAAAAAAAGGGTATAGTTTGTGCACTTATTTTATACTTAAGCCTCTTTTTAATAATATGAAGTGATTATAAAGTAGTATTTGCTCATAAATTTTTTAATTATTGACAATGCAACTGTTGTGGTTGCTTGAATTCAGGACCTCTAGAGATAATAATCAAAAGCGAATCTAGAAAAATTTTAGAGTAGGCACACATGTATTAATAATATAAACTATTTATATCTAGATGAATACAATAAAATTTCAGTGTGTGCACAATAAAATTTCAGGATGGACACACATATATCAATAAAAAAAACTTTAAGTTCTAAAAAAGAAAAAAAATCAAATTTCAGAAAATTTGAGGGTGGGTTCATCACTAATAATAATATATATTTTATCATTAAAATCACATCCAAGGTGAAATTGTTTTAATAATGTGTTGAAAAATATTTACCATACAAGATATAGAAAATTTACTTTTTTTCAAACATGATATTTGTCCCAATATCCATTAAAAATTGTTGAAATTTTATAATGATTTTTTAAAAAAGTTTAGATGATTCTATGATTTATGGTATACCATTAGTTTTCATATCATCCTACATGCATAAAGTATGAAGAAGACATTAGACGCCTATAATCGTGACAACTTTTAAAATTATTATGCATTTCAGACGACTTCTAATAAAAATTATAATAAATATTTTAATTGAAAAAATAATTTTTCATGCACGATCAATTTTTCTTTCAAAACATTATTCAAAGGATTTGTCAATATAAAATATTAAAATTTAAGGGGTTTGAATACTGACGAATGTGAATAGAACAAATGGGTTGGGAAGGTCGTCATTGCCTCTGTAGTATCCGATCTGAATTAATCGATTAATAGATTAGATATGGATGATTATAAAAAAATTGTATATTATAAATCACATTATATTATAATGAAAATAGGATAAAAGGAAAGATTAGTTGGTTTTTGTGGTTCACAAAACTCAAAGCCGATGAAAAGTGAATATCAAACGGCTGTTAAAAGGAATCATCTCATTGAAACCTTCTCAAACAAGTCAATATTTGTCGGTAAGAAAATAACTCCACCCATATCTATTTCAGTTTCATTTTTTCTATGGATAAATTACATCATTCATCACTTTATTATTATTTTAATCTTATTTTGGTCAATAAAGTTTAAATATTTTTAATTTAACATCTTAACTTTTAAATTACTCGTGTTTTAATCACTCTAATTTAATTTATTAATAATTTTTATGACATTAAATTTTTATTATTATTTTATTAATACATAATCAAGATAGAAAAATGAAAGTTAGAATAATTAAATTATGAGTAATTTGAAAGTTAAGTAAATAAATTTTAAAAAAATAAACTTCAGTACCAAAATAGGAGAGATAAAAGAGTTGAGTGATGAATGATATAATTTAGTTATTAAAAATTGACATGTTGTAACAGTTCTGCTAAGTTTTTAACGACGAGATACCAATACAAAACAAAAAGTAAACGTAAGGTCTGATTTTGAAATAAATAAAAGTTTAGATACTAAAACGAAATAGAACTGATAGTTTAAGTGATAAATGTGTTGTTTACCCATTAATAAAATATTGTAGTTGAAATTCCTTTAAGAAATAACGATATCAATTAGTAAAATAAAGTGAAAGTTATGATAATCATTAGAATTATTAGTAATTGAAATCGATCTTAACAATATTATTCATAGTTTCTAGTGACTAAACTTTAATTTTTTTATATTTTTAAAGATCAAACTAAAAAAATATTAAAAGTACAATAATTACAATAAAATTTTCAAGAAGGCATTCAGAATAAATTTTGAAAACTAAATTCATTTAAAACAGGTTTTTTAAAACTTTTATTTTAATTCTTTCCCTTTTTTTATATTTTAGTTTTAAAATATAAAAGTAAAGAAATAGAATAAGAATATCCACGGCTACTGCTGAGTTCACTCTACATTTTTCCCCCTTTTTCCTTTGACATCATGGTTCAATTTGTAAGTCCAAATATTAAAGCAAACATCAGTCAGATTATTTTATGATTTTTCTGATAGGATTCAGACATATTTGGGTCTTGAAATCTCTTGGATCGTATTCCTCCATCTCTTAATTTTCTAACACCGTTTGAATCAAATCAAACAGATATCGAGAGTTTGAGATACGATCATTTTATTGAAGACTCTGCATACTTGAATTTCATTATGAGAAATGTTGACCATTC